TTCATCCTCCTACAAAGTATGTATTTCTTTTGAATAGGAAATACAAGCATTAGAGAGATTTAGAGATACCAAGAGGATTGGCAATCAAGTAGTTTAGTTCTTCTTTATTTTCATTAAAGGAGTGAAAGGCCTTTGGAGTTCATGAGACACTAAAATTGATGATGCATTCTAATTAAGTAAATGTTCAGTTCCTTTTCTTAATTGCAATACTGTACAAAATATAAGCAGAAAAGGTCGATTTGCTCCATATCAATTTCTTCAATAAAAATAAAAATCCTCCCACTCCCTGCCAGTCATTCTTTTGGTGGTCTCGTTTCAAATCTCAAAAAATTTTAAATATTTTGCTAATTACTATCACCTTCTGCATTGAATCTTATTGTGTTTAATGTCTTTTCTTCACATCAAGGTTAGTACTTTTCACATAATCTTCAAATTTAATGAACATTATGCACTTTCTCACAGCTATGTAAATATTTGCTATACCTAAGTCAGCATGTATTGAGTGCTAATTGTGTGAGACTATATGCTAGTGGTATATTCTAAATAAATAAAATTATGTAATACTATATACTTTTAATTCACTAGTTAATTTCTAGAAAGTAGTATTATGTCTATTTTTCCCTACCCTGATTTCCTATCCATCCCCCATGTAAATGAATAGGAAGAATCAACTCTGCTGTTATTTTTTTGGGACAGAGCTTCACTCTGTTGCCCAGGTTGGAAAGCAGCAGTGTGATTATGGTTCACTGAAGTCTAAACTTCCTGGGCTCAATCAACTCTATCGCCTCCGTCTCCCGAGTAGCTGAGATTATAGAGCACACCAGCATAACCGGCTAATTTTTGTATTTTTTGTAAAGACCATGTTTTGTCATGTTGCCCAGGCTAGTTTAGAACTTCTGGGTTCAAGGGACCCTCCCTGCCTAGACCCTCCAAAGAGTTGAAATTCCAGGTATGAACAGCTGTTCCCAGCTTCAACTCAGTTCTTGACTCATGAAAGATGGTGATTTGCTCAGTACCTGGAGTAATGGAATGGCAAGGAAGCAAGAGTTTGGTGTTAAATCATCTAGCATCCTAGAGAGGAAAGAACATACTACTTACATTCTACTCTGTTCATGAGTCTTAGTTTTCTATTGCTGCTGTTACAAATTACCACAAGTGTAATGACTTATAGTAACATAAATTGTATTAGTTTGCAGTTCTGGAGGTCAGAAGTCTGAAATGCGTCAGCAATGTTTCATTTCTTTTGGAAGCTGTAGAGAAGAATCTTCCCTTTTCCAGATGCTAGAGGGCATCCTCCCTGCATTTCTTGGCTACTCTCCTCACTCCTCCCCATCACTCCACCAATGCTTCTGTCCTCACATCTCTGACTCTTTCATTCTAACTCCCTCTTGTTAGGATGCTTGTGATTACATTGGGCATTTACAGCTGATCTAAGATAACTTCTACATCTCCGGATACTTAATGTTTTAACATTTGCAAAGTCCCTTTTGCCACAAAAGGGGAAGTTATCACAGGTTCTGGGAATTAGAATGTGGACAGTTTGGGGGCCATTATTGTTTCTACTGCACCCATACTAGTTAATCATTAAAATCCAGTTACAAGGAAGGATTGTAAGGAAGTTGTATCTTATCATTTCCTTGAATATTCTCACATTTATTATTTCTGTAAGTTGTTTCAAAAATTGTACACATATATACATGTCTATAGATAAGCATAGATTCATATATCCACTATGCCAATGAATGTGTTTTAGTCACTACACTACACTAATAAATAAATGTTGGTAGTACAAATAATTTAGAAAATAATTACTTTTTTAATGTCAAAAAATGTTAATTCTGAACACTTTGAGTAGCAAAATGTTAAATAATTATAAACTAACAGTTTTATAATCCAGCTTATGATACTATAAATATTTCACTCTTCCCTAAATATATTTCACTTGCAGGAAGTTGACAGATGACGAATGTACACTTATATACATAACTTGTTAATAAAATGATATGACATTTTCATCACATTTCTTCAACAAACTAGGAAATACAATATAGTGAATAAAAATAATTCAACAATGTCTTTTAGTAATTTTTATGGGCTGATTGTTTACATCTTCCCAAAATTTGTGTGTTGATGCCCTAGTCTTCAGTGTGATGGTATTTTGAGGTAAGGAATTAGGGAGGTAATAAGGTTTCCAGTGGAACATAATGGTGGGTCCCACATAACGGAACGGCATTGGTGCCCATAAAAAGAGGAAGTTATCTCTCTCTCTTCACCATTTCCCCCTCCTCTACTTTCACACACCTATGAAGTCGTGTGACCACACAATGACAAGGAGGCTATCTGCAAACCAGAAAGCAGGCACTCTGTAGAAATCAAATCAGCTGGAACTTTGATCTTGGAATTCCCAGGCTATGTTGTTTAAACCACTCTGTCTATGGTATTTCGTTGTAATAGCCTGAATGAGCAGACTGAGATAGTAATTAGTAACAGTGCTTCAATTTCCTCATACCTCACTTCTCTCATATTAAGGTAAAAAACTAACTTACTTCACAACATGGTAAAAGGATTAAATGAATATGGTGAATAGTAAGGTATTGATAAGACTATAAAGTCTTGTGCAAATGTCATGATTTCTAATATAATTTGGTTTATTAAGTCAAACATATGTCACATATTCCAAAAGTTTTTTGAAGAATGCTATAATTTAATGACAATATTTTTAAATGTTGGATACAAATTAAATGCAATAAGCCTTTGTAAGAATGGTAAAGAGGGAAAAATTGATGCAGTCCTTAGTTTCATCCATTCAATTAATATTTATTGAGCTCCTTCTCTATGTAGGGAGATGTGCTAGGTGGTAGAGATACGAAGTCACTGAGGTGAGAATAAAAACATAATCATGCTTCCTTCTTCATGGAACTGAGAGTTAACAGTATGTGCTTTGAAATAGGTTAAGCTCTGCACCCCTATTATATGCATGTGAAAACTTTTTTTTTTTTTTTTCTTGAGAAAGAGTCTTGTTCTATTGCCCAGGCTGGATTGCAGTGGTTTGATCACGGCTCACTGCAACCTCCGCCTCCTGGGTTCAAGCAATTATTCTGCCTCAGCCTCCCAAGTAATTGGGATTGCAGGTGCCTGCCACTACTCCCAGCTAATTTTTGTATTTTTAGTAGAGACAGGGTTTCACCATGTTGGCCAGGCTGGTCTCGAACTCCCGACCTCAGGCAATTTGCCTGCGTTGGCCTGGGATTACAGGCATGAGCTGCCACGCCTGGCCTGAAAAGTAATGATTAATCACACAAAAACACACACAGCAATACGAATGCTACTAAAATACGGTTCTAGAAATCCTTCTATAAAGCGCTAATTTTTCAGATTAGTGCAAACATTTTAATTTTAAAAGCATACACTATAGATATTTTTAAATGTTTGATTTGATTCTACATTCATCTTGTTTAATCCAGGAATGATAACCCTTTTGAAGCAATGATTAGTGCCAAATCGATTTTAGTGTTGCTATTCGACTTTAGAATTGGCATTTTCAAAACAAAAATGGCTTGTATGTAACACACAAATATTGATGCATATGAAAAAACACTGGTATGGCTCAAGCCACTCCAGAACACTGCACCTTCCTAAATGGTTGAAGTCTTGTAGCTTTTATTCAAATTAGAAAGTTTTTTGTTTGTCTGTTTTTATACTAATGGAACACGTGTGGCGGGATTTTTTTGTATGTGTGTTTTGCATAATGTTTCCTCTAAAAAGTGTTGTCTTAGTCTCTGCGTTTCTTTCATACCGTGTGTGTTTCTGTGTGTATAGTTTCAGGTATGTGTTAGAGTCTAATTAAACTTCTTATTTTCAGAGGACAGCTTTCCTCTTGAAATAATCCTATTTCTACATTTTTAGGGAATTTAAAAAGTAGAACAGACAGGTGATATGATGGAGTATGACATTGCAGGTGACTGAAATTATCGACAGTTTATATTCCATGAGGGAAAATAGTCTAGGGAACAGCAACTCAATGCATGTACAAAAAGAATACTGAGAAAAAAAAAATATATATTATATATGTGTGTGTGTGTGTGTGTGTGTGTGTGTATAGTTTGTTTGGTTGGTTTTGAGACAGAGTCCCATTCTGTTGCCAGGCTCGAGTGCAGTGGCGCCATCTTGGCTCACAGCAACCTCCGACTCCCTGGTTCAAGCGATTGTCCTCAACCTCCCGAGTAGCTGGGACTACAGGCACCTGCCACCACACCCAGCTAAATTTTGTATTTTTAGTAGAGACGGGGTTTCACCATGTTATCCAGGATGATCTCGATCTCCTGACCTCGTGGTTCGCCCGCCCGCCTCTGACTCCCAAAGTGCTGGTATTACAGGCACGAGCCCCTGCTCCCGGTCTAAGAGTATTGAGGATATTTTCTGCAAGGGTAAATTACATGAAATCTCCAATTATGGGAAGGCAGTGGAGTGGAGGATAAAATAAAGCAGAGGAATAAAAGTTTTCTACAATAAAGAGTATTAGCTATCAACAAAATGGATTCTAAGACTGGCTACGATTTATTCATCTTTGTACTACTTTCTCTTCCTTCTACTTACTTCCTAGGCCCACTCTCAAACAATGCCTGTCTTAATAATAGAATGAACACTAGCTAAGAAGTTAATAAACCTGCATTTAAAGTTCCTTAGGTTATTAGTTAGTGTATGATTACACTAATCACTTAAACTCTGGTTCTCAACTTCTTCATCGTCATGAGTGATAAGATTAAATGATCCTTAACGTCCATTCAAGTTCCAACATACTTTTTTATGAGACTTGAATACATTAGCCCCAGTTTATTTAGCAGCATATTGATCTTATAAAATGTGAAGACTCCTGCACACATAGGTATTTTTAAAACTTTAGATTCTTTCAAAGGGAAAACTCTAAAAGCAAAATAAACATAGCAGAGATGAAAATGAATAAATATCAATATTTTATTGAAATTAATTATATATGCATAAATGTGTATATCATATGTGACTTTCTTTGCTATGCAAATAATAGTCTCAATTTATTTATCTTTATATAACTCATTTTTGGTACAAGTTAGATTTAATGTTAAAATCACCTGAATCATATGAACATTTTGCTTCCCAGGCAAATTGCTTTCCAATTTCTGTAATAAAATGTATCTTGAATATTGCTTTTAGATTAGAAATTTTAGTGGGTTAATAGGTAAGAAATATATTAGTTGGAACTCATACACAGTTCTTATAAGAAGGCAGCACCAGGATGGCTAACAAAAGCATTACCAATAATATAAAATGTACTGAAGTACTAGCTGCAAATATGCACTGTGATTATCTAAGAAAGACACTCTCAACACAAAATTAAAATGCATAACTTTTGGAGCAGTCTAAGTATAAACCAGATGTGTTCTGAAGGTAAAAGGCAGCTAGGAGATACAAAGCCTGTGGCTTCATGAAGGAGTTGATCAAATGTAATCATATGAATTAGTATAGTGTTCAAATACTTAAATTGTTAAACTTTAAATGCTGTAAACACTTTTAAAGTTCATGAACTATGGGTAACAAAAGTAATAGTTTTGTTATCCTGTTTTTTTTTTTTCAAATTTTTAAGAACAGCAATCACACATTGATTTCACATATAAAATAAAAATCTGAATGTTACATTTTTGTAATTTAACTCAGGGTGGGTCCTCAATAAACAAATGTATTTCTCTGAATAGCAAATTTTGTAAGTAGCTTTAGGCAGCATATCAAAGTCTTATGTGAAAAGTATGCTCTCTAACTTTCACAATTGTTAACATTTATTTGCAATGAAAGTAATTCCGAATTTTCAGCCTCTTTATGTGAACCTCAGATCCTCTTAGCAGCATTTGTTAGCCTCTCTAAAACACAGAGACATACACAGACATCCTCTTGGTAAAATGAGACAACAGAAGAAACACTTCTGCTCTAGGACATCATTAGAGCTGGACAACAGCCTGAAGAGAGAAAGAAAAAAATGTTATACCAACATGCCCTTACTGAATTTTTTTTTCTCTTGCAAATGTTGATGGCTGTAAAGACTATATAGATAGTTGAGAACATGCATATTTTGTCTTGCAATGTGTCACTTGATTATCTCTCTACTGAAATTTTATACTACTGATTTCTAGAATATTGATTTTCTAAAATGAAGCTTATTCTTACCAATAACATTTTAATATTATACATTTCAGATGATTTTTCAGCCATCCTGTTTTCATCAGGAATACATTTTGTGCCAATTAGTTTATCTTTTTTTAATTAAATTTAGAGGATGATGGATTACAGTAGAATAATAACACACAAAAAAGTTTAATTTAAATGTTTTACCAGTAAAATATATTTTATAATTAAAAATGCGATGATTTCTCTTAAAGCAAATCTCCCTTAATTTTGTGCATCAAAAATGATCAGCTTACTCTTGAAAACCAAGTTGACACAATTTGCAAAACATGTTATTCTCCACACTTGGTGATATATGATGTAAGCACAATCAAGAGCCGTTTGGCTTCTTCCCTACTGCTACACCTATCCACTCCTTCCTCACTGTGAACATGCACAGGCTGGGGGTGCTATAGACTCATGGAAAACCAGAGGGCTTTATGAATTTATAGTATCACCACAATATGCAAATAACCATTGTGGATACTACTAACTTGTATCTGGTGCAATAATTGAAACCAAGATGCACATTTAATAAGCGGTTTCTACAGCTTTAATTTACCTGCGAAATGTGAAAAATAACCATTCTCAATTTTGGAACTGAAATTGTATTTCAGAACATGGCCAAGACGTACTAAAAGCATAGACATGAGCCCACTGCCTAAAACTCTTTTCTTTATTTTCAGAAAGGAAAGAGAGTTAGTAGGAAATAAGGGAAATACTTAAATACCACTTTAGTAAACAAACAGAGATTTAAGTGCTTTACCTGTCTTTGGGTTTTTAAGGTCGGATACAAAGGACCTTAAAGCGTTCATATTGTCTCCTTAAAACCCTCTACTTCAAATTCACCCTTACAAGCTACTACTCTCCTAGGAAAGAGGAAAAGAAAATTTCCACTGACCCAGCTCGTGATTTACATACAAAGAGCAAATAAATGAATGGAGTGGGGGATGGGGCAGTGAGAAGCAATCTGTTTCCTTTTCAACCGCAGAAAATAAGATTACTTACCAAGAACATTTTTATCCAGGGCAAATGTTTATTCCCTCTATCATTCAGCGCCTCAGTCTCTGCAAGAAATCAATTTCCACTCTACCTTTCCCTCCTATTTCTAAAAAAGAGAGTGAGGCGGATAATTCTTAAGCTTCGGGGTCCGGAGAAAGATAGAGCTAGAGCGGAGGGCAAAAGACTCCCACAGCGCTCTTTATACAGATCCGAGCTCTGAGAGCGAACCCATGGGGAGGGGGCGGGGGATCTTCTCTAAGGAGAGTACTCCGAGTAGGGAGGGGGATTCATTCTGCAGCCAAAATATAAATCATCTACAAACAGATTACTAGCCTCTCAGTCACACAGGCAGTTCCCTTGGGAAGCCGGTTTCAAAGAGGAAAAAAGAAGTTCCTGGAAACAGAGAGAGAGAGAGAGAGAGAGAGAGAGAGAGATTGGGGTTTGGCTTGCAGAGGGAATGGGGCCATGGAGAGGAATAGGGAGAAGGAATAAAGCTAATCTTACCGATCGATCAGGCGATCGTTTGTTCAGTATTGGGACACGAAAATGGCAAGATAATGCATTCGGCAGCAAAGCCATTTCTAGCGCACTCTCCCTCAGTAACTGCAGGAATCAGAGGGGAAGCAGGCGCCTCGAAACCTACCACTTGCTCCCCAGGGACCGTCCTCAGAACCTCCAAAGCTCTAGCTTCTAATGCAAGGCCTTCGGAGCTGAGGGTTCAGATGGAAGTCAATTGCCTTGAGTCACGGGCAGCAGGAACGCCAAGGAAGTGGGACCTGGGAGGGCTGCTGCCGCCGCTGCTGCATCTAACCAGGGTTCCCGGTCCCCTTGACTAAGCCTCCCCGGCACAGCGCCCCCGAAAGCGCCTAGCGACTCGGCCTCCTCCGCATCTTCAGCCCTTCGATCACCACCCGCACCCCCCCATCCCCCGCCGCCTCATGCAAATCGCTGATGATCTGGTCATCGTAATGTGACCGTAGTGGCTTATTTGGGAAGTGGGGGAATTGGTTGTGTTGGGCTTCCTTACAACGCCTCCCTCAGTTGCTGCGAGTGAAAATGTTCAAGGGAAATACTAGTGAAATGCACTGATGGAATACTATTAATCCTAATAATAATGGTCCCAACGCAGGTAACTCTCAAAGAACTGAGAGTGGGAAGATCAGAGCAGGATTTCCGAAGTGGTGCCCTCTTGAATTCTCATTGGATCCTCCCCAGCAGCCTAAATCATTCTTGCTGCTATATCTATCAGGATGACTACAGCCTTGCTCACTAGTTCTCTCTTTATCTCGTTGTCTTCAACACATCCTTTTACTTCTCTTTGCAGATTTATCTGTATTCCACCTCCTGTTCTCTGGGGCAACACAGCTTCTTCCTTTCCCCACTGTATGGGGATGTACAGCCTGTAAATTTTCACTTTGCTTAAGGATCACTACGATTCACCCCCCCCCCATTCTCCCACCCCCCCACACCCATATAAAGCATTTTCACATTCTGCTTTCTTGCCTTGGGGGTTCGTGGCTCTCTGTGTAACTGGCTTTTACTTGGTTACATGCCACCAGGAACTGCTGATTATTTTAAAGTCCCACTACCCTGCAGCTCACTACTTTACCTTGATTTGGAAGATCATGGAATATCTATTTGAATCCTGGATGTATTTTTCTCACAGTCTTCTTGCTTCCTGAAATTTCCTCTGGTAAGTTATTCTCTTTATCTATTACTAGAAACTTAACTAGTGTTATTTTTAATAAGCTCTGTTTTGTTGAAGTATTTCATTTTTCACATTTTTGTTACTTTCGGAAATGAAAAATCCATATGACTGTATTTATAAATTAGTATGTTAGTGGCAATTGCACTACTAAGACATATCCCATGTCATGTATTACCCCAATATCCCATGTATTACCCCAATATCTTTTACCTTCTTTATTTTTTAAATTTCTGTCCTCATTTATATTACAGTTTACGTTGACATTAATCTCCCCCACCCCCATTAACCCTTCTTGGCACACATTCCTGTGCCATTTGAAAGGTCACATTTTATATGTTTATCTAAGAGAGAGCTTAAAAGAGACCTTCTGACAATTGCAAGGTCTGGAAAGTTCACTAGTCTGATCTTCAGAAGGTTGTTCAGGTCAGTATTTGTTCATGATAAGCAATTACATGACTGAGGGAGGACTTTGTTACAAAGTGTATTTTTATGAATTTAGCAGGACCTTAAACACTAAAATGCCACTGAATGGTAGGAAGAGGACTGTGAGTTTTGAGGGCACCATTTTTTTTTTTTTTTTTAAAATATTTCAGATCACACAGGAACACGTTATTTTGGGCATTGTATTTTAATTCAGGCATAGTATTTGTCAGTACATTTCTGATTTTGTGAATTAGCTGGTGAACAGTTAATTGGACACAGAGTACTCATTTCAGAGAGGAGCTATCAGAAGAAACCCCTGATTATCTTGGTTCTGATAAATTGAAATTCAAGAATAGACTTTACATGAAAAATTTAATTGCCTCACTCTTCATACTTGTCTACCCCCACCCCCTGTGTTTAATAGGCATGTTAATATGGTCAGTGCCTTTTGCTTTTATGAACATTTCTATGGACTTAACTGACAAGATTATCAGCTCCCCTTCCATATAGTTATGTTGAGAAACATTTTAATCTTTACTTTTACTTCACATATTGACACATAATGAGGAGAACACCATATTCATTTAAATGCCAAACTGCATGTATCAGTAATTTCTAACACCCACTGAGGGTTTTCTCTAAACATCCGCCGCCCTCCCCCAAATTAAGGACAAGTTCCTGGTTTCTACAACAGTTCCTTTTATTGGGATAGATGGAGGTAAGAACCTATTGTTCACGCTTTTCTTTTCTTTCTTTCTTTTTTTTTTTTCTTTTTTAATTTCTGGGAAAGAACTATTCTTGTCGTCATTGATGACTGACGCGACAACCCAAGCAATGCTTTTTTAAATTCAAAAGCCCTTTTAGCTCCCAGACATAAAAGTACTCCAGCTGCAGCGTCACCCCATCCCCCAGTCTCGGGATTCAAGGGCTTTCCCCCCTTGACTCCCACCGAGAGGGAACAGGGCTGAGACTGTTGTCCGCACCACTTGGCGCCCCTCACCCGTCACTAGGTCACTAGTTTCTACCTGATCTCTTTCCCAGTCCGGTCGTCCTGCCTGACAAGCCAGAGCCATCAGAGTCCGTGACTTCATTTGAAGAAAGGAGAGCTTCATATAATTCAATTCAAACATCCTCTTTGGAGGACTGCTGTTGTTGCGCAAGGGTGGAGGGAGGGAAAAAAAAAAGAAAAAAAAGAAAGAAAAAAACAACTTTCAGTGCAGTCAGATCCAGTAAGGAACAGACAGTCGGTGTTTAGGTAAGTGCGTTTTGCTGTATTATACCTGAAGCTCAAGCGTGTGAAAGGGAAATTTACATCTGAGGGGCTCCCGCAGCCAAGAACGTTTTAACTGGAGGGTTATCAACAGGCGACTCTGCGTGGAGATTTCTCCGCAGCTCACGGCAACGCCTTTGCCACCTGAGCTCAGGGAACGGAGGAGAGCAGGTACCTGGTTGACCAGCTGGCCCCAGGCTTGGTGTTGATGTGGGAATAATCCGTGCGTGTAGGAAAGGTGTCCCCCACTCTGACCCGCTAGCGCAGGCTCTGCACTCAGCCCCTGCGGCTAACGTGTGCTTGGTGTGGGCATTTGCAGCCCGACAGAGTGGGGTGCGCCAGGGGGTTTCCATCCTTGCAGAATGCTCCATTTCCAACCTTCCTCAAGACAAACTTGAGCAAACCTCTTCTGTATGAGAGAATAGACTGAAGATCTCCAGAGTCTCTTAATACCTTTTTGTGTTAATATTTATTTATTTTAATGGGCTATATTTATTGTTAGTAAACGACGGTTCCTCAGAATGCCTGCTTTATGAAACCCTAATCACTGTCCTTGTCTGACTGCGAAGTAGAGCTCAGAACTGTTGAATGACTTCTTAGGCTCTGTGTTAAAGTATCATTGCTGACGGTCACTCCTTCCTTTCCTTCACCAACTCCCAAGAATCTGGAGGGCGGTGAGCGGAAGAGAGTTAAATTTCAACTTGAAGCTAGAGCTTGGAATATAAGGCTGAAGTTAAAAGCAGAGAGTGAGGATTTGGAATCTGTCTAGCTTATATCCACTTTAAAGTTGGTCTTTTATTTTTATTTTCCTCTTTCTGGAGGTGGGGGTGGGAAGTAGAAAGATCTGGGACTGGGAGCGCTCTCTTCCAGCGTCCACCGGAGAGGGGGTGGTGCTTCTTGGCCGCTGGTTACTGCTGGTTCCACAGCCAAACAGTGACAGAGAGTTGAAGTCTCTGATGGCTGTTCTCCTAGTCCCCAAGAGTTGAACCGGAGAGCCTTTTACTTTGCACCAGGTCGAGAACGTGATCAGCCCTTTAGAGAAGGAACCTCCTTGTAATAGGAATTCTACAGGGAAACGCCGTGTAGGCACTACCTCCGAAGATAAGATGCACGTTTGGAGCTGTCTAAAATGCCCACCGGGTTTTTGAAAGGAGGAAAAGGTGACTAGGGTTGCAAATTAACCTTAGTATCACTGAAAAATACTCTAGCTAGTCAAATGTATGTAAGCAAAGAAGAGAGCACCAGGGTATAAAACTGCCACAGAAGCTTGAAAGACAGATGATTCAGATTTTGGTGACTTTCTTTTGCGTGTTACATAGATTTGTTTGTCATCATGCAGTTAAGCAGGTAAGGAATGAATGTATTTTCTTGACAATCATATAACTTGTGTTTTACTATCATGTGATTTTTTTTCTGTGTTGCAAGCAATGGAATATCTGCATTTTCAATTGGTCCTGCTATGATGCATAACTTCTTAATATTCACATTCATGAACCAGGGTAAAGCAGTTTAGATGTTTAACATGTATTAATTTAACTGTTTAGTGTGCATTTATTTAAATGTGTAGCCATGTTACAAAAATCATAAATTGGACCAAGGTTAGAGGAAGAAATGGGAAGGGTGGAGAGTTAGAAGAAGAAATGTATAACCTTAATAAAATATGGAAGATGGCAGTTGCAGAAATGCATTAAAAACATTGCTTCTTGTTAAGGTCCCAGACCTTAATATATAAAGGACAAGTGAAGAACTATTAAGGGTTTCCTGAACTAACAAAGTAATTTTGACTACTTGAGAGAACTGTTTTGTGGGTATTTCTACTATTTTCTCCACCTTAAGAAAAAATATATGGCGGGGGGGTGGTTTGGGTTGTAAAATAGAATGAAAAAAGAAGCTTGCCCAAGGGCAGTGTTGTGTAGGACCCCAGTATAAAATCTTTGAGTTTAGAAAAACAGTTGGAAAACTCAAAAAAAAAAAAAAAAAAAAAAGAGAAAATTTTGGGTTTTCTTTCCCAAATAAATTCCTTTCACATTCTCAGTTTTGTAGATTGAGCAGCCAATAGATTTCTTCCACTATCAGATTTTTCTCAATTAAAATGGCAAACACATTCTGAATATTCAAATAAGTTTTGTTATTATTATTGATATTACT